TTGGTGCCACAGAAGAAGAGCTGTGCTGTTCTGAGAAGTGAAGCTGAAGAGAAATGTTGTTCTGAGCACCTCTGGCAGCAGGATGCTGTTGCTCTGGGTCCAGCACTTGTGTCAAGTTACCATTCCACACACTCTGCATGACTAGTTGACCGATTATTTGCAACTGTATTAAATACTTTCATAAAAGGCAAAACAACTCTGCAACTTCAATTCCCACAAAACAACCCAGACACCCAAGCTGATAGCGTAGAAAGGAATGGCAAATGCTCAACAGCTCTGAACTGCTAGATCCTTGCTTTCTTCTAATCTAAATTACATTGTCTTGATTAGATTTAGTAACTAGAAGTAGAGTAAAACAACCTTAACCTTAATCCAGTAACATCAGACTACCTTTCTACCCAGATTACACCACTTTGCTGATCTAATAATTTCTGATTCAAACAATTAATACTTTACATATAAACTATTCCTTATTATTATTATTTAGACACTAGGTTGTTCACTATCACTGAGAAATCAACTTTGTTATGAATTGTTCTTTTGGCAGGTATCAGAACAAGCAGAAGCAAATTAATAAATGATGACATGGGGTTTACAGCAAAACATTCAGAATAATAACATTTTACAGTTCATTCAAGAGCATTGCTACTAGTTGCGATTTAGCTTACGGTATTGTAAGAAACGTTTATAAAATGTTTGAAAAATGAATCGTTGTTTTTTATGAGTCATGCCTGTTATTTCATGAACGTATTGTAGTTCCTTTTACATATGTTCCCAGTGCAACCTGGCATACTCCTCACCAGAATCACTGCTGTGTTCACAACCTACGTGACTATAAAGTGCATTTCTAATAATCACATTTTAGTTCAACATTTGTCTTGTTTCCATCTATTTATGCATTATTAATACTGTACTGTAGATACGGAAAATGGTTTAAAAAAAGGTTCCCAAATTCCTCCACCAGACTGAACCAAACAATATTTATATGCTAATTCTAATTGTCTGTCTTGTGTCTAAATTAAAAGATTGTGAAACTACCTACGAAGGTACACCAGCTCCTGTCCATGAACTTTCACCTGCTGACCCCAGGCCAAATCCTGCTGTCTAACATTATTTTCAGCTTTCTGCTCAGTGCTACCACCATGCATTCCCTTTGTCTCACCATACACAAGATGCTTGCAGATACCACAAAGACATAAGGAGCAGGGCGTATAAAACATAATTTTGGCTGTTGTCTTCCAAAAACAAAGCAAAATACATTTTGGCTGCTGTCGAATTGCATTCTAAAATGAGAAAGTTTTGACTATGTTCATGGTTTTGTATCTACTGAACAATAATATTTGAGGACAGCAAGTGAACTGGAAACTTTTCAGAGTTATATTCATCTGGTCAATGCACAGTAATGCTTGTCAGTTGTAATCAAGACTGACCAAATGTAAGTGTCAAATATTTGCAGCTATCTGATCAGGAATACATTGACTGTTCAATTCCTTGTTGATCAACTTTAAACAACTCTGAGTAAAATCACTAATAATTCATGGATTGTTTGTGAATACAAAAAACAAACAAACAAAAAAAAAAAACTTAAATACATTCCTTGATCTCAAGGATACAGTTATATAGTCTAATCTGCAGTACCATCACCCATTTTCCTGCATTATTCTTTTGGATGCACTGATTTCCCCAAAGTATCCATTGTCTTTCACTAACTAAATAACAAACCCCTTTCTGAAAAAATGTTTGGAATAAGCATGTGATACATGTCTTTCCTATTTTACATATTATTTCATTACATCTTTTTACTAGACTACTGTCTTCTGATGCTACCGAAGAGCCATATTGAGGGATATAGACCAAGAGTTTCTCACAAGTATCACGCATGTTCAGTAGCTTAAGAGAGATTGCAGACCCTATGAGATGGGAGCAGACACCTTACAATCACAAAATTAGACAATCATGGTCTGCTCATTCCTTCCACATCCTCATCTATGCTAGCTGCTGCGAATCACAGATGATAGACTCCAGCTACTCCAAGAAAGGAGCTGTACATAATATAGCCCTATAGCCCCATGGAGGCACTATGGACCCCCTACATTAACCTATTTAAGAAACAACAACAAAATCTTCTGCATCTCTAGACTAAGTGGAAGTAAAAGCGCTAAGTCACAGAAATTCCCACAAGCCCATACAAGAAGGTAATGCTTTGACACAGTGAGCTGGCACCAAAAGTGTGGAACAGATGTGGCATTGGACAGACATCAGGGTGACCAGAAATAGGACAGATTAGGGCTACCGCCTTGTTAACTTTACCCACTGTCCAGCAACATACATCAGAGACCAAGATATACTTCCAAGCCCCACCTTGCTGGATCCCACAGGCTACACCTACAGCAGCAAAGACCTCTGCCATGGGAGACATTAGTGAAGAACATGGCCAGCTCCCTCCTACTGCAGTCAACGCAATTAAGGCTCTTTTTTGGCGAGGGAAGAAACAGTCTCCTCATGAAAAAGGCCTCACGCTGTGGAAAGCAGCATGCAACAGCACGGCATCACACAGCAGAGTACGGGCTCATGAAGGATGTGTGCTCACAGCCACACTGGGAGTGGTGGGAGAGGAGGAGACAAGCGAGGGCAAGAAACCGCGATGCCACACTATTCTGCAGTAGGACTGACAAATGGCACTGACACATCTGCTGCTTTCATCTTCTGAAGTAGGGGTGAACAAACACACTGCAACAACAGTAAGAGAGCATCATGCCAAGAAGTCTGGCATTTATATGAAAATAAAGGTATCTTGCAGGGAGCGATACAAAGAAGAACCTAAGTATCCTAATCAACATAATGCAGGCTCAAATGAACTTTGTTGTTAAGATGAGATACACTGGATTTTGTCATTTAACAGCGTCCAAAAAGTGTATTTTTGTCTTTTCATCTCTTTAGGCATTCAGTGGGAATACTGAGCAACCACGCTAACCATAGATGACAATGGATAAATGACTGAATTTTAGGCTACAGCATTGAACTCTACAAAAGGTGCTTAAGTAAATGAAAATATCAACACAAAAAGCAGTACCCTAAATGCTTTCAGCAAGGCAGTTGCTTGCATAGAATTTGGACTTCTATATAAATGCTAAGCATAAAGACTGTGCTTATGTTATTTTACCTGTAACCTGATTTACCTGATTTCTCTTACAGTTTCCCATGACTCCCTGTTGGCTTCCCACTACCTATTAGCCAACTAAGCCAGGCAAAACACTTTATGCAGTCCTGCTGCTTACTCCAGCTTTTACCCAAAAAAATATACCATTTATTACCGTGGGAATCACTAGGTTATAAAGAAAGCAATTAATATTAGTGTAGTGTAGTTTTTTTGTTTGTTTGTTTGTTTTTTTTAAGGACTTTGCCAGTCCTATCCTATTGGATCAAAAATTCAGGAAACCCTACAAGTAGTAATAACCAATGCTTCTAATCCATTTTGGGAAGCCTTCTCAGTCAGAAATGGACAATGATCATGTATAATGACAATGTTTGCTTTGGGGTGGCAGGGCAGGAAGAACATCCCAATATTGCTATTTTGTAACTAGAACATGCACAGAGTAATGGAAGTGAAAAAGAGACTTACAATATCTTTCTGAACAATTAAATGCAGAAGAGACACTTCAAAGGCCTGGCTTCTTAAAGATCATAGCCACAGAGAACAGTTTGATCAGAGATCAATGAGCATCTGCCACATTATCTTCTTTCCTTCCGAGTCTCTAGTTGGTGCACAGAAATGGATGTTGGCACAGTTTTAACAGCACGAAGTGCGTGGTGCTCCTTAGCAGTACAAGGCTCCATCTGCACACATCACTGCAGGACTGGACCTACAGTTACGATCACACAACTGAAGAGACCACTCAGAGTTGAGAGAGAGCTCTCTAGTCTATTCTGGCTAGGTCATTTTTTTACAACAGTTGAAGATTTTGCCCCACTTCCACAAACTTGCAAGACAGCCACATAGAGTTATAATTTATTTCAGAAGAATCTTTACTCTTTGGACAAAGCAGCCATAATTCAATTCTGCCAGATACCATTGACTCGTAAATGACACACTGTTTTTCACCAATTGCCAATTAACCCCTCTTTGTTATCAACTTGATATTGCTTCCTGTGATCAGTCTGAGCACCACGTAAAATAATTCCTCATCTCAGATATAAAATTAGGCTCTAAAGTTCCATGATTTTGCCACTTTTGAGATGACAGTAAAGTCTAACTTCAAAATTGTGCTCCATGTAATTGAATCTAAAGATCTGACAACACTGACCTTATCAAGAAATGAAACTTCTGGCTGAAGTTCAAACCATGTACGAGAAATCAGCCTTTGCTGGTTGTTTGTAAACCTTGTATAAAAATGTACTTATTCATTATTAACAACGTGTAAACTGCAGGTCTCAAACTGCTGTCAAGTGAGTAAAGCATTGCTTATTGCCGTCATTTCATTTAGATTCTTGTATTAATTTTAACAGCACAACTGAGCATTCCACATTTCTTCATATCATGGTAAGTGGGTTGTTATAAAAAGACAAACTCAAACTGCATGCTGAAAACTGAGGACAGAAGTAATGTAAAGAGCCAGATTCATTTTGTTACTGTGTCCATGGTGCTGCTGGCCTCCGTGACAGCCCTACTTTTGCACAGTATGTGAAAAAAAAAAAAAAAAAAAAGTATTCTAGGGAGAACCAAGGCATTGGTATCACACTCTTGTCACATGGAAGAGGTACACTGTAGGCCAAAGGGGCAAAACATGACCTATACTGGTGAGCCATCTCATTTAGAATACAACAGACCAGAGGCTCCAAGCAAAATCACAGGCAACATTAACACTGGTGATCACCACAGTCAACTCAGAAATCCAGAGGTTTCATAAAAATTCAGTAGGAAGCTGTTGTAAATAATTTTCACTGCTCTTCAGACGAAATCCATTTTAAAGGGAAGCTTTTAAGATGACACCATTACCTACCTTTCTTGTTCTTGCATACAGTTTTCAGGATGCGGTTTCCAAGTCCACATTTTCCATGGTCAGTCACACATATTCCTTCTGAAATAATCCACTCATAACATACTGGGTCTTCACAAGGAATAGATTCCACTAGATGTGGACAACCCGCTGAAGGGCCTACAGGATCCATGATTACATGTCTTTGTCTCATTTTAAAGCCTGGAAAATAGAAAGTGAATTAACTGGACAACCGCAAAATATACCAAAAATTTAGTAGAAAGAAGACTATTTATGGCATCTGGAACTGGAGGATATAAAGACTAACAAGAGAACACCACTTGCAATTATTGAATTGACTGGGATGGTATCTGGCTGAATTTCCCACAATCTGGGCATGCAAAATCCAATAGCACATCAAGAATTTCAGCAGCCCCGTATTTTTCATATTTCTTTTTTCATTTTAGTCAACGTGGGTTAAAAAGACATGTCCAAAACAAAGAATTAGCTATTGATGCATATATTAATGTAATAATAAAATTGAGATAAGAGAGAGAAACAGTAAAGAAGCTGAAGATATAAAGGACATCTACACTCTGCCTGGGAATCCACTACTGACAAAACCTGTTTTAAAATACAACAGAGCAGTTTACTATGAAATTAGTATTCTGCCTTATGAAGGTATAAGGATTTCTGATACATAATGCATATCAGACCTCTTTGAAATGATATTCTATTAAATTGGTAGATTCAAATGTAAAGTGGAAGAAAAAGGTTACAGAAATAATGAAAGAATTGATTACATAATCTACCTCCTTCTGAATAAAACCAAAAGTCAGGTTGCTGTATAAAATGCAGAACTAATAGCAAGTACCTTTCAGCATGTTTTGTTATGTAAATGACAATTATTATAAAGGCAGAAGAAATAGGTGGTGGTCTTTCCTATGACAGTGTCTCAGACATTGGGCAAATATACAGCATTAGTGGAGACCACATAGAAATGCCTTACAACAAGAAACAGAAAAGGAAATAAAAAATAAAACATTCCGACAAAATACAACAGACCAAACTTCCACCATTCTCACATCAGCAAAAACAAATGATTCGACACAATTTTAAAATGTTCTTTTTTCATTTTATAACAATTTAAAAATGAAATGAATTTTGCAAACCTTTATATTTAGAAATACTTATATTAATTCCTTGTAATTTGAAACACTCTGAAGAGATCAAGTCACTTTAAAAACTTTTGCTGTTTTCAGAAAAGCGTAATTTCCAAATAATAATATTCATTCTCTGACACAACTCCAACAGTAATGTTTCCAACTTTCATTGTAAAGGAAGGAAAGGCTCTGCAATGAATCTCCAAGTGTCACAGCAAACAGCATGTATTCTGGGCTATTAAGATCAAGGGGATATTAATAGATAGCTGCATACTCCTCTTCCAGGAATTGAAACCTAACCCAGGAAAACCTCTTGGCTCAGCCTGAACTGCAACATGGCAGAGCTATGGGATACAGCTCAGTCCTGAGTCCCTTCAACCTCATGCCTATATTCCCCTTGAGCCAAAGCACCCTGCGGGACTTCTGAAGGAGATGGGAGAGAGACACCCCTCATACTCTGGAGGTCTGCAGTTGCTATCGCAAGAAATCTTCCCTTTCTACAAGTTCAGTGCAGGAAAAGAGGATCTGAATCAGGCTGAAAATCTCATCCCTTTTTTCTTTCAAGAATAACTGCAAAAAGCTTTTAAAGCTTTTCCAGTCCTGTATGCGCCTGTAAGAGCTCCATCCTATGTTAATTTAAAAACACATACATTAGGGCCCCAATGTAGAATTTGACACCACTGCTTCTGCAAAGTTATAATATTCCATTTTACATTTTAGATCCCAGAACGCTGTAAGCAACAGGTAAGAAAAGCCCTTACCTCTTCTCCCCTGGCGGTCCTGGCAGTTTTCAGGAAGGCAGGGGCCCCACACCGACCAGGCAGACACCTCGCACTCAGACGGACACGGCAGGTTACATAGCTGGGAGGCTGAGGGAGCAGGACCCAGGCAGAACTTCCCATCAACTGGTCTACTAACTAAGGAGAAAATGAAAGAAAAAAAAAAGAGAGAGAAAAAAAGAAAAGGAGTCTAATTTTACCTTGACCAATGCACAGAGCTCCAGAGTTTACTGGTGGCGTTAGCTTCCAAAAACACACCCTAACGCACTGCTTTTTGAGTGACTTAACTCCCAGATCGAAAAGTTAATCTTCTGTTCTGCAAGGCACTTAGTTTTATCTAAATCATCCATATTCAGCAGACCAATTTCAGACTATGCTTAATGGGAAATCGTTGATAAATTCAGTGCTGATTTTCTACAATGCCAGAAAAACAGACTGGAATCTATTCTGCATTTATACACAAGGAGACCTCTTCATACTGAAGAGAAAGATGCATAAGAAGGGAATCCAAAAAGCTCACATTGTAACTGGGAAGCAGGCAAAGGCAGATAAAAGAAAGTCTGAGCACAGGGGGATGATTGCAAATCATCCTTCAGGAGCACAGGCACTTTTGGATCAAAGACCAAATCCAGACCTTCACATTTTCTTCATCTGCTTTCAAAAAACAAATGAGCAGCGCTCTCCATTTCTTCCACACACACATGCAGAAAGAGACTTTCCCACTTGGCAGTAGAGGTGTTTATTTTAATTGCCTCCATCCAAGGAAGGCGTGGATCAGCTGCGCAGTTCTCCATCCAAGTTGCATCCAAGAGACAAGCTGATCTCAAACTACCATGTACTGGTTTTGTTGATATTGACAATAAATTTGGAAAGCTTTGAAAATACCTTTTGAAAGGTATTTGAAAATACCTTTTGTATTTTCATTTATCACATGCAGTTTCTACTTTCAATTAACATCTCGTCTTTTCATTTGGGGTTGGAGCAGGAAGGAAAAGAAGGGAGAAGACTTAAGTCTATCTTCTGAGTCATTATACAACACCGTATTTTAACTACATGATGGGCTGACTTTGGATTTCTCTTTAGATAAATCAGTATCAAAATGGTCCTTCAAAAGGCAAAGGCTTGTCTGTGTTTACTCTGCTATGGTATTACCAAGCCTTCGTTAATTTTTATTGCTACTGAGTGTGCTACATCCTCATTTTTTTTTTTTAATGTCCATTTTCCATGCATGAAACTCACTGGTAAAGCATTTATAAAAGTATGAGCAATCTTTTCTTTTTTCTGATACTTACTTGTTTGCTTTAAAAAAATAATCTTTTGAAGAACACTATTTTTTTCTTCTAAACACATGAATTCACTGCTCAAAATCTCAGTAAATGTCAATTTACAAGTCCCAAAGTTAAGATTTAAGACCAGTATCAGTACTTATGATTCCAACTCATCAGAATAACAGGACTAAACAACAGCTGTGATTTAATTCTAACCCGAAAGATAACCCATTAGTAAAAAAAAGACCACTTTCTGAATGATTTTTGAGACACTCTACAGCCTTTGACATGTTCATTTAGAGATTACAACATGGCATAAATCCAATTCAGCTGAATGCTAACATAAGCACAACTTTTCTAGAGACCATGCAAGGAGAGTGACAGACAGAATGAGATAAATATTAGAGTTTTAAGGATAAGAGGATGCATTTTACAAAGAAGTCTCATGCATGGCTTAACCTGCCTTTCAGCATCAAGCTTTGCAAACCTGTACCGTTTTTGGAAAGTTCAGTCAAATAAATGAAAGGAAATAAATCTGACTGCACATGGTAAACCCAAAGAATAAAGTCCAGTCCTACTGTGCTCTAACCGAAGGTGTTGTTGCTAGCAATGGCTCTTTTCCCCTCACTGATTTTTAAGTTGTAATGTAGAAGCAATTTAACTGTTGAAATGTGGAATATTAGATAAAGTAGGTTGGGTCTCCTGCTTTGAAAACTAACTCATTTTGTTAAGGGTATTTTAAATTTAGTTTGAATGAAAGAAAAACAACAAAAAAAATATTACCAAGTTAAAAGGCCAGGTTATTGCTGGTGCACCAAGTGTAAAACTGAGCCTACTGGCTATATCAGACTCATGGAAGACTCTTTCTCATTTTGGTGGAAATGCCTGCCGCCTTCTCCCCGACAACCAGCTTCCCACTCCTCTTCCTCCCTTGGGCTGATGCTCTATTTAATTCCAGCACTGGCTGCTCTTTTCCCCTTACGATTCCCAGAAGCAATATGCTACTTTGCCCTAGAAAAATACTGCTGCTTTTCCTACTTCCTTGAGCCGTTCTATATAGTCTTGAAATGTAGATCAGAAAATGCACGGGTTATTTTAATCAAAAATCCAAATATATTCTAGGGCTGTGCCAGTTTATATTCACTCTGCACTGACTACAATCCTCCAGTGAAAGTCTTCAGAAATAAGCCAAGAACAAAAAGAAACCAGCTGCATTAGGAAACACGCATACAATCTCATTCTTTTGAACAACCAGGTGGGTATAAAGACCCACCATTCCCAGCACGATAGCCAGAGGGAGTGGATGGACCAGTGGGGCTCCATAAAAGAGTTCTGTCTCTTTGACAGCAATTTGATTGACAACTATTTCTATCAGTTGATTTCCATCAGTTTTACTTAAAAGCTTGATGGGATTTTTTGCCTGAGTGTCTGCTCAAATTGAGTTGCTTTTAGTCTGGTGACTATGCCTTCACTTTTTTGCTACAAAGCTGTAGCAGGGAGGAAATGGGGGAAGATTTTGAGTGCAGAGGAAGAAGCAGCACAGAGGTGGGCTGCTTTTACAGCCCTCTTTGACACGTCCTCGATGTCTGAGCTTCATCTTTCACCCATCTGCGTGCTGCATGGCAGTGGACCACAGAAACTGGAATGGCGCAGTCGTGTCTTTCTACAAACATTTGTCTCAGCTCTGAGAGTAATCGATTCTCCCTAATTCTCCATGTTTTTCTTCTGGTTTGAACAGGTACTACCACTCTCTTCATTCACTAGCCATCTGTAGTATTTTCTCAAGCCTCTCCATCTCTTTGACATTGTTTTGTTTCTTTTCAGCTTCATCTTAACACCCTCAACTTAATTCAGCTCTTTATAGTAACTCATGAATCATATAAAGTTCTTTAAAAGCAATACTCACTACCCTCAGTACCTTCTTGAACACTGCCATTCTTTTATACTCTAATTAACATCCTTCTCTTTATGAACTATAAAGTGTCTTTTTCTATGAACTTTTTAAATGCCAAAATCCTCACACATCACAGCCTCCAAAAAAGTGCAGATAGCCTGGACAGGGATTCCCTGTTCAGGAAGGGGAAAAAAATAAAATAAAGAAAAAGAAAAAAATAAATAAAGAAAACTCAGATTATGCCTACAATAAATGAACACAGCTGCTAGGCCTGTCTTTAAATACCAGACAGCCTTCTGACTGTGCTCAGTAATTGACTTTGTAATGGTATTTTCTACATTCACCTAGAAAAACTGTTTTTTATGTACTTATTTTCCTTGGAAAAGCAGTAGTCATCTTTTGGGGGCGAGGGGAAAGGCAGAGAAGTCAGGGAGGGAATGGTGGGAGGCAGTATCTCTCGTTCAAGTAGCAGCTTATTTATTACATTTGTTCATATATTTTAAATTCCTGTGTTCTTCTCAATCTACAGAATAAACTTGAAAAAGCAATCAAGTACTAATCTGGAAGCCTCTGAAACATTGCACATTTCTTTAGCTGTTATATTGAATCTATCCTTTATAAATGCGACTACAGCTGTTCCCAGCACCAGTGTCTGCTTCAAGTTGAAATTTTACTATTTGCTGTTATTTTCAGGTTATTGCTACCAGCAGGAGATAATAAATTGGGTTCTAAAGTATCTTGTTTCTCTATATATTTTTACTAAGGTAGTGATTTGGGGGTAGAGTGGAAGAGGAAATCAGTTCTGATACTACTTGCATAATGTAATTTTAAGCCAATAAATAAATTATCTGTGAATATAGTCACATAGGCACGTACTTGCTGGCATACATACCAATACTATGTTAAAAAGCAATGATGGCCAGTCAGAGAGAGAAATACATAGGGCTGTATTTTGGTTGCAATGATTACTTTCAAATTTGGTTTTTCACTCCTCAGGAGGTATCTAACACTTCTTTTTCTTTTTTTTTTTTTTTTTTCCCTGGACCTTAACTTCATTTTCCCTTCAGAATGAAAAAAAAATGTTTCTCATATAAACACCTAAATGAGACATTTCTAATTATCACTAACGTATCTGGAATATATCAGGATTATCTCCTATATACTGGCAAGGCCTTATATAAGTTAATGTTCAATTTTTAAGGCAATACAACCAGACATCTACTGTACCTTTTAGCAAAGCTGTGCCTAATTAAGGATAACCAGGGTACAGGAAAGTGATGCCATATCTTTGTAAAAGTTCTTGTTACCTTTGCCAGGACTTACAATCTAAAGAGAGTTGGATCAATATGAAGGGAAATTACTTGAGAAAATCAGGAATGAATGATTCTTTATAAAAACACCTACACGTGTATAACACAATAGGGATAAACCAGCACAACACTGGTAAGTAAGTTCTCCAGTCTGAAAGACTTGTTTTTATAGTGAAAACAAAGGATCATACAAAGGAGATGTGTTGAATGTAATTAAACTAGCCCAGAAACAGCATCAACCCTAGCCCATTGTATCACTCCATCAAAAAAGCTTAATGCACCCCATCCCTGATGGAAAGGATCTTTTCATGCTCCTAAAAAGAATCAATTAGTTTGGAAGCCACAAGGCACAAGTCCTATTATCAATTAAAAGACAAGAAACAAAGTATAAATGGAAGGCTAATCACAGCATGAAAGAAGGTTAATAGCGGATTGCCAAGAGCAACAATAGCTTAATGTATTTCAGGACACTAAAGATCTTCAGAATTTTACCGAAGCAACATAAACTATTAGCACTTCATGTTCGGAGAGTTCAGAACTTTGTCCTGAGAATACTGGGCCACAGCATCCCAGCAATATGAATCTGATGGAAATTTGCCTGGTATCACAGATGAAGTGCCACTTTGGAGGTGTCAGTGATGCTCCCTGGGGACAGGTGTCCCAAGG